CTTGGACAAAATGCTGCACATTTCTTTGTGAAATTGAAATATAACACTATAATAATATACTAATATAGCACTTGAATATTATTTGTCGGTTGTCGGTTTTGATTGATTCTATTGTCCTCATTTGTAAGTCACTTTGGATAAAAGCGTCTGTCTAAATGTTTATTTAAATTGCATAATAATAAAATAATACATTATGCAATTATGACATAATATAAGTTTCGAGAATGAAACCTAATTTTTCTCCCTGTCGCCTAATTTGTTAATGTAATAAGAGACATTTCATTTTATATAGTTATTTATATAAATTATAATACAATTTTAGATATTATCAGAACTGAACTGTACATAGTACGTTTAAATGTATTCTAAACGTAAATGAAATAATTTATATAAGAGTTCTGGCTCTGATTACAAAATAAGAGTCAAGAGAACCGTTGAAAACGTTTTGAGGAACGATCCTTCTGAGTTGCCGTAGTGACCCTCATGGCACAACACGGAAATGGGAATTTCAAAACACTAATTCGGCAGAATCTTCATTAATCGTGTGGATTTGGTGTCGTTTCAGTTCAAAATGACGGCTGAATGCGGTCAGTGAGAAATCAGACAGCAGGCTGGACACATGCCAGTGTTTGTGTTGTCTTATGAGTGTGATGAGTGCTATTGATGACAGTTATTGATCTTCATCATGAAGCTGAGCTCATCACTATTTGCTTTATTGTGTCTCATATGTGAGATTGTGTCCATCGCTCTTTTCCTGCGAGGATTCTTCCCTGTTCCTGTCAAATCGTCCTTTTCAGCCAAGAGCAAAGTGCCTCATTTTCCTGCAGAGCCACAGACAGGTAAACACACACTCAGAAGTATTAACTATTATGTTGATGGTGATGCAACCCTCTACGAACACCTTGGCAATTGAATCGCCACTGGCTAGTACATTGTTTAGTTTACTGGCCAGACTGATATATATATATTATATATATGTATAATAAATGTTTGTAAAATGGCACAGTTGTTTAAATATCTGAAAGTACACACTTAACATCAGTCAGTCAAGCATTATAATATGACAATCAAGTATTATTTAATGATAGAACTTTAGTAATTAGAATTAAAACTTGACAACCATGTATGAATGCATATTAGTCATTTTAAATGAATTTAAGGAAATTGTGGTGGTGCTTTTTTGGTCAATCAGTGTTTCTGTAAATAAAATTGGGAAAAAACTAACAGAAATACTGAACAGATAATAATGATACGAATTCTACTAATAAGAACAATATAAAACGAACTAAGGATTAATGAGCTTCTGGAATCATGAATATTAATCAGGTCGTGTGCGTTCGCTCGAACTGATTTGCTGAAATCAAAACAGGGACGATAATAGGTGAGCGCCAGCCAATGAGATTGCCGTTTGCGCATTAGCTCCGCCCACTACCGGAGAAAGCGGTAGTTCTTAAAAGAGGAAGAATTCCAAAGGAACTCCGTTATTTTGACAGCAAAATACAACAAAGAATATCGTTTACATGTAGCGCGTCAATTCTCTCTCTCTCTCTCTCTCTCTCTCTGCGTGTGTGTGAGACAAAGCGATGGCGAGTCGTGCGCTTCACACTAGAGTTTACGGTACGTCAAATAAAGGTACACTGCGCATCCATTCAGATGAACTGAAAAATATCACAGATACATATGCGAGTGATTTACTCGCAATGTAGAGGGTTGTGATGGTTTTTATAGTGAGGTATTAAGGCTAAAAAAAAATATATATATATATTTTTTTATTATTGATACTGATTTTTTTTTGAGGATTTATTTAATTGATGTGTAAAATAATTTAATTATTCATAATTTTCAGATTCTTTTTAGTTAATTCTATACACACACACACTTTATATTTGTTATATTTTTATAGTGTAATTATAATATTTTGTACATTTGTACATTATATTTGTTCCATTTTGCTGTCTTATCAAATTAAATTAAATTTAAAGTAATTTTATTTACATGGAAAATATATATGCATAAATGCAAGTAAAGTGTCTACTTTAATGTTTCAGTTAATTTTTGTGAAAGTAAAATGTCAAAATATGGGTGAAATAATGTTTCATTGTCATTCAGCACAACAGATGTAATTATGTAAAAAATAAACAACATATTTATTCTGACCTGTACTTATTAAAATGTATATATAAAAGAATAGGTGAACATAGTAAATTTCATTTTATTTGAAATGATTAAAAACTTCTTGCTGACAGATGGGTAAAACCTAGCCTAGTGGTTTGAAGGATAGTGGCAAAGATGGCTAAAGATTTCAAACACAATTCATTCGTATTTGGGCTTTTAATATCATCTAATGATTCTTGTTCTAAATATGCCTGACAAGATTTTTTGGTATATTATTAACCATTGTTACACTGAATTACATGGGTGTATTCTGTAAATCAGCGTAAAAATGTATGATAGTCATTATTTTTTGATAAGAAAAAAAATTAAACGGGACACATTTTATTTGAAAGAAAATGTCAAGAAAAAAAATTGTTTTGTTGTTTGAAAACCACCTTTCGTCTTTGACCCGTATAAATATGTATGTTTAATTGTATAATTTTATTACTTAAAATTTGAAGGAAAACAGCTAAATATAACCTATGTCTCAGTCTGTTTTATTCTGTATGTCCAAATCTGAATAAATCGTCCCTTGGGGATTAAGATTGAGGATTTAATTCCAATGTTTAAGGTGTTTTAATTTCAGCCTCACAACTAAATCCCCTTTTTCCAAAATCTCTAATTATAATTCTGAAATCAGAATTCATAAGATGCATGGTGATCACGCATGCAGCAGAGATTCTTGAGTTGTTATGTGTTCTGCAGGAAGTGGGCCGAACTCCAGAAAAGCTCCCGAGCCTTTGTTCAAGTGGGTGGTGATCGTCCTGATCGATGCTCTCAGAGAGGACTTTGTGTTCGGCTCTGATGGCTGGAGGTTCATGCCCTACACCAGTCATGTGGTGGAGAGAGGCTCTTCTCACAGCTTCATAGCCAAAGCCAGACCGCCCACCGTCACCATGCCCAGAATTAAGGTGAATTACACACAAATCAAATCCTTTCTTAACCTAGTTTTGTTTTTGCCTGTGGTTCCTCCTTTAGTATAAATCTATGGGATGTTTTTGCCTATTTTGTCAAAATATGCTATTATATTACTATAACTATAACTACTATAACTATAATAATTATTATAATACTATATTATAATGTTTGTTTTTTTATATATTATTATTATTATTATTATTTTCTATATTAAAAACTGTTGCATGCAAAATTTGTTCTTATTAATGTAATTAAATATTTAAAATTATTATTATTATTATGATTATTATTAATGAATATGTAATAAATATTTTCAAATTTTTAATTTGATATTTACTTTTATGTTGCAAAAACATTAAATGTATATTATTCAACAATTTATGTCAAAATAATGGCGTTATTTTAAATAGAGTGTAAACCAACAGTGCTGCATGCAAAATGTGGGACACTACTAAATATATAAATATATTTCATAATATAAATATATAATTATATAAATTTAAATAACTAATTCTAATTAATTCTAATAAATATTTAATAATAATAATGATAATACACATTTAATAGTCATAATAATAATAATAATCTAATTAAATATTTAATTTGATATTGTTTTTTTGGTGCTACAAATTAACTGAATGAATATCAAGTCAAGTCAAGTCCCCCCCCCCCCCCCGCTGATGTTTGTTTTTGACTGACATCTCTCAATGAACTGGAAGTATTTGGAAGAGGATTCTATAGACAGAAATGACTGTATGTTGGTGGCTTCTATTCTGTTTATTAACTCATGATGTAGGTCCATCCATATGCTGATCATTGATGCATGTGTGAGATGTTAGAGGTTATCAGTGATATTTGTACAGGCATATCAGCAGTTTGCACTCATGACAAAAAAAAAACATAATCTCTAATTCTGCATCTGCTAGGAGTAATTAAATAAGGCCTATAAATCAGTTGCGGGTCTTCCTGGAGCTGATCTGTCCAAGTTTTCCAGCATGCATCTCATATGGCCTGCATTATATGAGTTGTGTCCCAACTCAAGTGTCCAGCAGATGGCAGTCCTGATCTATCGGTCCCATAATGGGCACTTTTTATCTAACTTCTTTTGGACTGATGCATGCAACACCTGCTGAGTGCTATTAAACAGCTTGAAAGATCAAAGACAATTTTTAATAAAACTCCGACTGGATTCGTCTGAAAGAAGAAAGTCATATACACCTAGGATGACATGAGGGTGAGTAATTTATGGGCTTATTTTCATTTTTGGGTGAACTAACCCTTTAAATAATCAAGTTGAGATTTGTTATATAGTATAATAGCTTTATGTGAGTATATGTAAGCCAGTAAAGTTGGATATTCGTATAATGCTATATTAATGTAATGTTAGATAACAGTTAAGATAACTTATCCACTAGATATCTCTCTGAAGAACACAGGATTTGTGCCTTTATCATCATTTTTACCCTATTTGTGGAAAGTGCCATGCAGGAGGAACTTTATTTAGAAAGCATGTGTGGTCTCCAGAAAGCCTGATGTTTACAGCAACATCTTCATCCTTCATGGAGTCATTTAGTCACCTATTTGTGTTGGTTGACCTCTTCACAGAGCACAAATTAACTCGGGACTCAAAGTTTGTCTCGCTAACAAGCCCTTTTTCAGTCCTGGTTACCAGCTGCTTTTGTTGTTTTCTTTGCTTTGGACTGGTTCGTTGGAACAAGGGAAGTGTGTAGTCAGAGATCAGCCCGTTTTTTTTTTTTTTTTTACTTCTGAATCCATTTACCTGGATTACCGTTTTTGCTTCTGTTCTGTCAGCATGACATAAAGCCACCGTATAAAGGGTGAAATAGTTGATGCAAAGAGAACAGTCTGTGATGAAAGTGCCATGAATCTGTTGTTGAACTCAGGGTTGTTAGTTAACTAAAACTAAAAGCACTAAAAAAGATTGTAATTTTGAAATAAAATACATTTGAACTGAAATAAAATTTTATTTTAATAAAAATTTAAAAATAAATATATATTTGTATTTTATTTCAGCTAGCTGCTAGGCCAACATTTGTCCTTTTCATTTATTTTAAGTCGATGCACTAAAATAACTAAAATGAACACTGAAATAAAAAATAATAAAAACTATATTTAAAAAAAACTATAAGATACTTAAATATTTTTTAAAAATAACAAAAACATTTATAAACATAATAAAACCATATTAAATTAAAATGTAAACAGAAAATATAAAAATAAACAAATTCAAATTATTAATAAAACCTGTATAGCATGTCAATGATATTAAAATAACACTGGTTACACTCTCAGAAAAAAAGGCAAAAAAGCTGTCCTTGTGGCAGTACCCTTTCAAAAGGTTCTAATATGCACTACTTAGGGGGTAAATAAGGTACAAAAGTGTACTGCCACATTGACAGCTTTTTTTGTACAGTAGACATTTTTTATGAATTTCAACCAGACAGCATGTTTGTTTTCTGTTATCCAAGTCATATTTTCCTGCCCCGAATCAAACAATATGCTTGCATTTAAACTCTGTTAAAATGCTCGACACGATGAACACTGCATGCCCTCCAGTGGGGCGTGTGTGTCCCAGCATCATCTCTGCCCCTGTAAGAACATGAGCCAGGCCGCTGGTTGTTGTAGAGACGCTCTTGCCATTGATTTTCAGTCATTGTCGCTGCTAACGGAGGGTGTGACATCCTGGTGAATGGAGCTCTCAGTCAAACGTCTGGGTCACAGTGAGCAGTTCTGTCATCACTTCTGTGATGAGTTTCAATGACTTTATACTGAAATCAAATGCGACGGAGGGCTGAAATTTACTTATTAAATGTCTTCTGGGTACTTTAAGACCATAATTTCCCATAATTCCACAGCGACTTTGAAATATAGATGCTTCATGTTAAAATATTTTGTATTGGCAGTAGGGGTGTGCGATATTGACAAAATTATATCTCGATATTTTCTGGGACTGTACACGTTTTGTTTGCTTTTTCGCGATATACCTGATAATGTCAAATCACACATTGTTAAAACAACAATTACGATATTATCGCAGACGATATATATCGCACACCCCTAATTGGCAGTGCTTGGTTCATTTTAAGCATAGTAAGAAAATATAGCTGTGAAAAATGACGGCGTGTTGCTGCTGTGATCATTTTAGGAAGTTTCATGTAAATACGCAGATTTTTTGCTGAAATATTGCCTCACTTTTTCTTTGATGTCTTCACCAGCTGCTGCATTGAAGTGTTTCTGGAGAGGAGAGAGTAATGCTGAAAACCCAAAAGTTTGAGTAGCATATGAGCCAATTTTCTGAAGACAGACCTCTTTTTTTCTTTTTTTTCTATTTTAGTTTTCTCTCTCTCTTAGCTTTTATTTTTATTTTTGAATGATTAATTTTTAGTTATTTTTTTAGTAATTATTAATATTTTTAGTTTTAGTAATTTTATTATGTGCTTTTGCCATTTTATTAATTAAATTTTTTTTAGATTTTATTTTTATTTCAGTTTTAGTAATTTTAGTTCTTAAACTTTAATTCAGTTCAACATTCATAATTTTCGCTTAAGCTTTCCGTTTTTCAGCTATTACTTACAGTATATTGCATTTTATTTCAGTTATTTTTTTCAAGTAACAAAAATGATTTGTAATAATTTTAGCTTTACATTTAGTTAACTATAACAACACTGATCACAGCATTTTTGAAGAGTGCAATTCGAGTCCAATCAAGGATTTGTGGGTGAACTTTTCCTTTTATTATAGTATTTGACAAGCCAATTGAACAACAGGAAAAATTAAATTTTTAGGGCCCTATGAATTTAAATTTTTTCACAAATTCTGTTTTATGTTTCCTAAATTCTCAGTTTTCCGTTGTAATTTTTCTGAATTCCGTTTTGCTTAAATTTGAATAATCAAACAGTGTGTCTAACCAGTTGAATTCATTAAACAATTTAACAATTTATTACAATTTTTATGATAATAGTGCCCTATTAGATGCTTTATTTTTTCAGAAATTCTGTGTTGTCTTTTAATTTAGCTGGATTTATGATTTAAAACAAGTTTCAAAAACAGCGGTAATCAAATGAAGGTTAATTAAAATTAAAATGTAATCAATCGACCGTTCACTCATGAAAAGAGAAATGTAAAACATGCATCCAAAATTTGCCAAGTTCCGTGACATTCCGCACTTTACTGTACATTCCATTTTTATGTCTGGATTCTGTGATTGCATCTGTGTTTTCTGCATCGTGGAAACCCTATGCCTTAGACCAGACCGGCAAACACCTTTCAAAATGAGTATTTCCACCAAATGCACCATAAAAACCTGCTGGAATCCTGAGTTTGTGTGTGTGTTTGTTTCTGTTTGTCATTTTCCTAAAGATGTTGGTTTTCGTCTGATGGTCAGGCACCTTTAGATCCTTCTCTGTTCCTGTGCTTTCACTGAAGTTTTTGAAAGGTTTTGTTTCTTTAAATAGAGAAACTTTTCTTATTTTATTTTCCTGCACAGATAAGCTCTCGGCTTACAGGGTTTTTGCCTGGTATGTTAATGCTGTGAAGAAAAATGCTGCTTCTGTCCTACTTTTCATGCCTCCAGTCATCAGGATTGACACATGAAAAGGTGGGATGTATTTCCAAACTGCAAATCGGCCTGTCTGGAGGCAGAGTGTTAAATGAAAGAGACCAACTTTGAAAGTTAAAAAAGAAAACTGCGGAAGAGAAATCTTCTGTCTGTTGTCATGTGAAGCGCGGATGGCCTCAGGGTGCTCAGTGAGTGTTTTTAAGCTGCTCTCTTACAGTTGTCGGAAGATGCTGAGATAACACACCCAGGGTCAAAAAGGTTCTTCTATGGCATCGTGAAGCACCTTTATTTGTAAGAGTGTGCTTGAAAGCAAAACTTTTTGAGGCTCAATCAAAAGCATACACTTTGAGGGGGGAAAATAATAACTGGTGGTTTTGTTGTCAAAACTTTTTTTGGATGCACAGTAATAACATA